GGGTTAATTTAGACTTGAGACCCTTCAGGAAATTAAAGCAAGGTGTTTAAAAAGGGCAAAACAAATAGAGATAAAAAGTCACAAAATATTTAAAGAAGTAAATAAAAAAGACCACTTTTATTTCGAAATGGATATATCAGACTGCCTAAAAATAGAAGTAACTTACCTTTAATAAATGGAGATATATGTTTGACTGTGTAAAATATTCCAATTTTTAAATTTTGTTTCTAGCCGCTACTTAAAAATTAACCACACGGTGGTGCTATGTTACCAAATTATACCATGTGGACGCCTTTAGAGTATTTTAGTATGATAAAAAAAACATGAATTTTACTGATTAATGGGTAAATATAAAATACAAATCCCCATTGGAGCTAATTAAGATTTTAACCCATTTGTTAAAGAGTTCACATGAATAGAAAAGCATTTCACCTCCTATATTTAAAATCATTCTGCTCTGGTTTGTATGTGATTTATAGTTATGAAAGTTTAAAATGAAATAATATGCCAAATAATATTAAAATGTTAAATACTTTAAATTTTAATTTTTTTTAAATAAAATACAATCAACTCACTATTCCTTATTTTAAAAAATGTTATCATTACTTATTAGTTTCTAAGTGATTTTTTAATAGAAATGTTACAGACTATATTATCATTACTTACTAGTTTCTAAGTGATTTTTTAATAGAAATGTTACAGACTATTGAGATGCAGGATAGTAAATAATTCTATAAAAGTTAAAAACATTGTTTTTTTAAATACATATATTATTAAATCAATAACAAGACAAGTGAAGTTTTTCTGTATATATATTTATATTTTCACTTCTTGGAAATTTTTCACCAATATAACTTTCTATTACATTCTATCATTTTGTCTTGAGGTCATATATCATTTTTGCTGTTTTTGTGTTGTTTTGATTTTGTCTTCATTGCTGTTTTGTCAGTTTTTCAATTTTTAAAATTAAAAAAATTGAAAAAAAGGAACTTTCTATTATATTTATATCCTCTAACGATGCATTTTAATATTATTTACCCTATAGGAAATAATTGACTAGAGTATATTTCATTTTTCTTTCTAAGAAGAAAAATTGTGAAACTAAAATTATCTTGTTTTCTTATCTTAAATAAAGGCCACCTCCTAATTTTCAGATGAGCTTTATTCTGGTTTTGCTAGTGTTCCTATAGCTACAATATTCAAGAATACATAAGGTGGTTTTCATTTCTGTTTTCTTTGATCAGAAATTTGGTGTGAGTGTGGAGGAAAAGTGATTTTTCTTTCACTTCAGTTTTTAGCCAATATCTCAGGTCTTGGGGAGATTTATGGAGTTTCGTGAAGTGACACAGTGAAATGACGTTCTGGTGCAATCCTTATAAAGTGAATCAAAGTTGAGGTCAAAAAATAAAATAAATAAAAATGCTTTTCTTCATTCTTCTCAGCACCTGAGTGTTATTTTTATCTCCTTACATCTTCACTGTATAGAGGAGGGAGAGGATTTAAAAATACAAATAAAAGCAAATAAATACTCTGGAGATGAAATAATGAAATGAGTGCTTCAGAACACTGATCACATTAACTTATTTTATATGAGCAAAGATAAAAACCCTGTGAAATCAAATAATTTCAAGTTTCACTTCTCTGCTATAGTTTAAAACTTGCTAGTCAAAATTAAAATAACTGATCTTTTAAAAAACTACATATTCATATGCAGAATATATATTTTTGGACTTTCTGAAAGAATTCAGTATACTGAAACATGTGGCAGCAATATGAGCTAAGTTTTGCATCCAAATTCTTATACTACAATTCTAAGTGTTGAGATAGCAAAAGAAACTTACAGAAAATCATTTGAAGATCACGATTAAACTGACATGCTATTGTTGATGTTTACAAACACATTTGTTTTAACACACCTGTTTCTTCAAGGAATCTATCCTTTTTTTTTTTGGTGTTTGTTTTTTGTTTGTTTGTTGGTACTGGGAATTGAACTCAGGACCTTACACTTGCCAGGCAGGCACTTGTGCCACTGAGCTACATTTCCAGCCCACAAAGACAGCTAATAATGGTCATCTAAAACTTCCTGAGAATTTACTAGATACATGTGTGAATGGTTTTATCCCACAATTTTCACCTCATCTAAAAGGTACTATATTTAAAGAAACATGGCTGTCTAAATTGATTTTTACTTTTTCATGGGCTTTAGTCACCTGGATATCATTCTATTATTTTTGTGCCATCATATGGTCACATTAAATCAAGACTTACCTATGTTTGCATGTATATATTCCACAATATAAAATATACATTAGCGATAGGTGAGAGATAATTTCTAAATTTTGTCACAAAACCTAAGTTATTTTTTCATTTGCGGGTCTCATTTCTCTTTTATTGTTCAATGACAGTGGTCAGTTAGGGATTGCCTGTGACCCAGCCTTCTATAGAGATTAAACTACACGGTAAAGCTGAAAGCATATCCACTTGTTCTGTTCGGCTGTGTACGTACTCAGTCATTATATAAGTACTTGGAACATTTACAAAAACACGACTTCATGTAGTTCCTTCAGAATGTAGCCAGGATCTCACCACTTTTCGCTGTTTCCATGGTGATAAGCATCATGCTTCGCATTGCTCAGTTTCCAGGACTCTGTGAAGTCTCTTCCCTGTGCTATTTCTACGCTTCCTTCGTACTAGCGATTGTCCACAAAGCCCAAGGAGCAACCTGGCTCTCAAGTGTGAAGGTGATATAGATCTCAGCTCACCGTAAGCTCTCAAATACTTTCCAAATTCCAGTCCTGGGCCTGGTTCAAGACTCGATATGATGGCGTCTTCCTGTCTGACGTCATACTCAGCCAAGGACACCTTCAACCGGCCTCCTCATCCGCTGCACCCCAGAGATTTGGCACCTGCTGCTCCAGTTTTCACAGACCCATGAACCAGACACTGCATTGGATTCTTCCTTCAGATTTCTGCTTGTATTTCATCTCCACCAAAAAGTCTTTCCTAATCAAGTCACTGTAAGACTCTGCCTCCCACGGTCTTACCTCATTCTATGGTCTTTAAAGTCATGGGCAACAGTGATTTTTAGTGTCTTTGTTAAAGACACTATCGTGTCTGGTTTTCTCAATTAAATTGAAGTTGCTGAAGAATAGACAATGTATTTGTTTAGTTCAGTGCTCTGCTTTCTGAGTCCAAAGTGGATCTAGCAGATGGTGACTACTCCATAAATATCTATTGAATCATGGAGTGAAAGTTATAGATGATACTTGTAAATAAATTATAAATGACATGTATTCAGAATAACAATATCTAGGTATATATAAACATCAATATGTGTTTTGTATATGTATATAATAGGATTGCTTATTCTGAATTTGTTTCACTTTGGAAAAGAACTTACCTTTATACTTATTTTATGATCTACTGGTGTAAAATAGCTTCTATTACTTTTAACATTATTAAGAGGATTTATATTTGTTCCATTTAAATTGATGTTTGCAAAATATTTAAATATTAAAACATTAATCTTTTGTAAGGATTTTAGTAAAACAAATGATAAGTTTGATTTTGTACTGAGGTGAAAAGGCAAAAGAAAATAACAAACTTTTTTTTTTTCCAGTACTGGGAATCGAACTCATGACCTCACACTTGCCAGGCAGGCACTGTGCCACTGAACTAAATCCCCAGCCTCTAAACTAATAGACATAAAGGGTAAATATTGTAAGAATTTAATATGATTTCCTAAGACTCTAGTTATCACTATCTTGTTACTTTTTACCTTGTTCTATGTTTTTTGTATTTCAAAGAGAGAAAAACAATAAAAACAGTAATACAGAATTTCAAAACGAGATAGTAGGAAATTCATAACGGTTAATATATTGCATATTATTATCTTCAAAGTCGATGCTCAGATTACAAGGGATAGGCATGCAAAACTGATCCAACAATGTAAGTACACAGGGTTCTTTGCAAGGTATCACCTCCAGCCGTGAATTTTTTACATTCTTTGTTTATTTACTTGGTTTGTGAATTGTAGTGTCAGCATAAGTGTATAATTTTGGTGACTAGGATTAAATTGTATTCGCTGCAAGTGCTTAGTTCTTTCCCCCACCCGCAACAGCCCTTCCACATGGTCCTTTGCTCTCCTTCCTCCTGTGTGTTTCTCTCTCTCCGTCTCCTTCCCCCTCCTTCCTTTCACCTTCTTCCTTACTGCTCCCCCAAACCCTGTATCTCTCTTTCTTTTCTTTTTTTTTTTTTCCGGTACCGGGAATCGAACTCACGACCTTGCGCTTGGCAGGCAGGTGCTGTGCAGCTAAGCTAAATCCCCAGCCCCCCTCTTTCTTATTTCTTTCCCTCCTGTGGTGCCTCAAGGTGACCATGCTAGTGCTTCTCCACTACTTCATCAATTCCTGCAAAGGGGGCTTTAGAGATTTACATGCTCAAAAAAAATCATAAAACGATCAAGACCACCCCGGGTAGAGTAAGATTTAATATCTGTATCTCTTTTTTCAATTAATGTGTTATCTACACTTACTGCAATAAAATGAATTTAAAATTCAGCTTGTATGAGTGTTAAAATAATGTGCTCAAACTCATATGGCTGATTGTTCAGTGCAAAAAAGTCTGTTTGTTACTTCACAGTGTTCATAGAAGTGAACATTTCATAGTTATTGAATCTATTTATTTAAAATAGTGGCCATTGGGGGAAAATTAAAAGTTTCTCTAATTTTCCACTTTTTTCAGTGCTTTCATTTTTCTTACATAATCAACTGCCAGAAACGTATGTATGAGCCTGGTATAGTGGCCCTCACCTGTAATCCCAGCACTTGGGAGGCTGAGGCACGAGGATCCTTGTCAGTTTGAAGCCATCCTGGCCTAAAACCTGACATCAAAGCCAGCCTGAACTTCATAGAGAGACCCTGTCTCAAAACAAAAACAAAAACAAAAACAAAACAAAAAAAAGATGAAAGAAAAAGAAAAAGACAAGAGTGTCTATGTACCTTTTTGAGTTTGATGACTCCTTCTTGGGTATCCTCATCTGTGACGATGTCAAACAAATTTCCGCCATCTCCTGGAACAATATTGTACTCAATTTCTGCATTTTGTCCAAAATCAGGATCCACAGCTCTTATTCTTCCAATAGCAGAACCAATAGGAGATGACTCGGGAACTTTCAGATGAAAAATGCCTAAAAAAAATATACTTGTATTGACAGTGCATTTAGTGAAGTATACAGTAAAATTTTTAATTTTAATAGTATAATCTTTAGAAAGTAAATCAAATTTACATCATGACTGAGTGAAAACCTGGAAATGTGATTTTTGTAAAGTTAAGGATTATGATTACAAGACATAACTTCACTTTTCATGTCAGTGGCTCCAGCTGTGCAATTCTAATTTGGGGTGTGCTAAATTAAAATTATTATGTGGAAATATTTTACAGAGCAATGGTATCAAAGTGTACCACATACCAAATGTGGGGGTGGGAGTACTCATACTTGGTTCCAAATACAGAAGATACCAATGATACCAATATAGAAGAATCCAGGATGCAAGACACACATTATAGATGTAGAAAGAAAAATAAGATAGATAGATAAACAGACAGATGGTAGATAGTAGTAGATATAAGACAGATGGTTATCTATTAATATAAAGTTAAGGTTATATATCATAAAAAGTATCAATAATTATAAATTGATCAAAAATAATCTGCAATGATGATCTGTAGAATTTATTAATATCTTAATTGATCTATTTAAATATAATATATTGGAAACTATGTTACATATTAACGTTTCACTGTGTAGATTAATTTGCCCAGACTTTAAATTAGTATATAAAATTTAGTTTCACATCTTAGCATTAAAAGTGGAAAAAGTAAAGTGATTATTTATACCACCAGGTGGAGCACATATAACTATGAAATTGCTACTGAAACAGGGAAACTAAAGAAAAATACTTCAAGGCTATTAAAAATTGTAAGCCCTATAGAAGTAAAATTGCATATATAGTAAAATTTTTGTTCATTATTTAAAAATATGACATAAAACTATGCATACCACTACTGATATCTCATCAAAGCAAAAATATGAGAGTAAACATTATATACAAATCAAAAGAAGGAAAATAAAAAGAGGAAATAAAAGTGCAATCACAATTGAACACAATAATCTAGAGTTCTGATTTTGAAATTAAAATTCCATTTCACCAATATTAATACATTTTGATTGGTAATTTTCCATTGCTAAAAAGAGCACTCATTACTTTTATAGGAAAAAAACCTCATTGAAGTGAGGAAGGTAAAGTTCATTTAGCAAATCACATTACAGTGTTACAGTTATTTGCCCCAAGAATGTTTGAAAGGCGAAATCCTACCTGTGCACCTTCAGTCATTTCCTTATTCACAGTTATTTGTAAATGTTTCCTAATTGTTTTCACAATCAAATGTAAAACTGAACAAATTCTCTAGCCCCAGTATTAGTTAAATCTTTACATCTATCTCTTAAAGCACCAGAGAAATTTTCCATTTGTTTTTGTAAATTTTGTTCAAATTAGCTTTATTTATATCCAATAGACAGCCCCTTAATCAACTGTATAGTTGTTCTGAAGAAGGATAAATACTTATCAAAAGCTTGTTTACCTAATGTACAAGAGAGAAGACATATTTTATAGGGCTCTACAATATTATGATAGTTAATTGAATTACTCATATCTATCCTCAAAGGGAATATGAGGTATTTTGTTAAATAATCTACTATGAAGTTTAAATAAATAAATAATCAACACAGACAAAAAATATAAAGCCTCCCAGCAGCAATGCTGAAATGTTATACAGACTTTTTGAAGAAATCTAAGTGAAGTTAAATCAAGTTAATTGATCATACTGGGAAATATTTATACACTAGAATTATTGCTTTTCTTTTAATCTCCAAATACATGATATAATTGTTACCAGATGTTTAATGGTTTGAAAGGCTTAATCCTAAAATTTAAAATAGGGTCTGAAATTGAAACAACCAGGTCAAAGAGGAAAAATGAAAAGTGGGTTATTTTGTTTCTCTATTATCTCCAGAAAGAATAATGGAAGATATTTAAAACCAATGTGTCTTTTTTTTTTTTTTTTTGGTACAGGGAATCAAACTCATGATCTCGTGCTTGCCAGGTGGGTGCTGTGCTGCTGAGCTATATCCCAGGCCCTAAAACCAATGTGTCTTATTTCAAATAGCCACAAGGCCAGGAGTGGTGGAGCAAGCCTGTAATCCCAGCACTCGGGAGGCTGAGGCAGGAGGATCCTTGTGAGTTCAAGAGCAACCTGGGCTACCAAGTGAGCTCTAGGGCAGCTTGAACTGCATAGCAAGACCCTGCCTTAAAAAGATAAAAAAATATTACAAACAAACAAACAAAAAACAGATAGCCACAAGTACATACACAAAACCTAATTTCAGCTTTTACTGCCTACTTTCTTCAGAGTGTAAATGTTATATAGGTAATTTAATAGGTAAAACCTAGCCCAATTGTATTAAAGGATTCTAGAGATACTAGCAAATATGAGGATTGTTGCATTTCTGTTGAGTGTAAAAGAAGGCATGAGACATACTTATTCAAGTTGTACTAAACTCAGGAACAAATCCCTCCCCCACCCAAAAAAGGACACAGTGGAAAATATATGACTTATTATTCATTTCCTTTTTGTTCACTTTTTTTGTCTATGAAATACAAATATAATTTTTAAGAAGCTGTAATTGGTCTCCCTTGCTTGCCATTGTGTTCCTGGCTTATACAGCTGGAAGGAACAGAGAGCCTTGGATTGACAGTACGGGTGGGCAAATGCCACTCCCATGGTCCACATTGTTAGGAAGTCTTGAATTTTCCCTGAAAAGATAGAAAGATGGAGGTTTTTGGTGAATAGTGAACTATAAATCCCTTTCTGAGAGGATATTTACTTATGAATCTTACCATTAAAAATTAACAAGGAAGTGGCTAAAAATATTTGTGAGTGAATTTCAGTGTTTGCAGGAAGGGTGGCGTCAGAGCATAGTTTAGCACAGATATGGGATGAGAACTTTAGGAGAACAGGGTGGTAAAGTCTTTAGAATATTTCATCTTGTCCGACCTAAGCCATCCTGTGAGAGTAATGTTAAGTTAATGGTAGATTCATGAGTTAGTTTTTCATTTGATAAGTTGTTAAAGGCAAAAATAAAAGAATGAAATGTGAAGGGAAATAATACGGTCAGAGTAAACTCTAAAAGATTGTGTGAGTTGCTCAGATTACCAGATACAGTCTGAGCAACTTATGTGACAATAACAATTTGCAATGCAACATCCACTGGTGAATTCTTACAATCCTGCCTACTGTCACTATATATTGTCTCTAATGTTCTTTTAAATTATTATTTTCTTACTCCCTTTAATAATTTGATCAGTCTTCTACTCTTACATCTGGTAATCTGAGTAACTTTGTTGAAGATATTATGTAATATAATAACCACTGTTAACCTCTATCATTTTGTTTGAAACCCTGTATCATTTTTAATGTCCTTGCTTTGTGTTGTTTGTATTTTGCTATTGTTCTTCTTTTTGTACTATTTTCTTTAAAATAAAAAAGTAATAAAAAATAAAAGATTGTGTGAGTAAATATGAAGAGGTTAGCCAAAAATAAAATTCACCAATAAAAAAATTAAACTTTCAAAGATAATCTAAATGACATCCAACAATATCAGATATAGATGAGACAGTTTCCATATTAAGGTAATATCCTGAGCTATGAATTTCACAGTTTTAAAATAATGTTTTTTTGAGGCAAAAAACAATAAATATGAAGACAGTCATTCTTTGTGCACTCTATCAGTACCTTATGTGTGCAGTTAATTTGAATAAATGCTTATCTTAGAGCATGTCCATAGATTTCAGTATTGTCTAATGGTTTTGGAAAACTTGTGGAAAATTGGAAAAAGTAACATTGTGTAAATATGACTTAGCATTCCACTAGCAAACATCCTTCAAAATTAAGATATGATCAAAATAAAACACTGATTCACCACTTACATTCCTTTGTGCCCTGAGGTTTTAGTTCATATGAAACTGAAATACACAGAGCAGTGGGTTTTGTGTTCTGTATATAACAGACATACATTTTAGTAAGTTAGATGACATACACGTTCATTAAGACAAGCACTTCTCAAGAAAATATTGCAACTGGTAATAAAGTCTACAGAATACAGAACAAGTCAGAGAAACTATGCATTACTCATGTCAGATTGTTTGTGCTATTTCCAGTGAGTTGACATTTTATCATTTCTAGAATCTCAACAGCAGTAAAGCTGGGGTCATTCAGATTAATTTGAAACTCTACACTAATCTCCAGCTGTACCACAGTCAGATCACTCATGATGTACTGTGTAATTACACTGCTATCATCTTCCAGGCATCTCACTTCTGATGCATATGAAACATCTTAATGGCACTACCTGTACAAAACAGATTAAGAAATAAAACAGGTGACAAGAGATGGGCCACAAAGTCAATAAAAATATATACTTACATATTCATCAAATACACACACTATGCTTAAGAAAATCACCTTGTTGTGTGGAAAATGAAAAAAACATTGCTTGCAATGAACTAATGTGAAATTATAATGATGGAATTATCTTAAGTTTTTACACATAAGCTTTTCAGCAAATTACAAAGAAGCAGAATAACTATTAGTGGTAAGTGAGGCAGGCATTCACTAGTAACTTTGTCATTGGAAAGAAAATACTTTCGTTATAGTTTAATTCTTAGTACTTTCACTGTGCGTGTGTGGGGGGTAGTAGGGAGTATTTCATTGCCACCTAAGGAAAAAGGATATAACAAATACATTTTCCTACCAGGCATGGGGGCACACAGTTGTAATGCCAGTAGCACTGCGGAGGCTTAAGCAAGAAGATCATTAGTACATCAAGGTCAGCCTGTGCTGTACAGTGAGTTAAAAGTCCCCCTAAACTACAGAGAGAGACCTTGTCTCAAAGCACAGAATGAAACAAAACAAAACCCAAGCCATATTTTTCTTTTGAGATAATTCTCAAATTTAAACATAAACCTCAAAAGGTATATTTCCCTAACAAAATAAAAATTAAAGGCAACATTTATTCATATATGTAAAAATTAATATATGAAATGAATAAAATTTAAAAATCTATAATAT